ATTTTCGGGGGGATTTTTAGACAACTAAAGCTATTAGACGGAATGAAAGCAGCACAAACTAGGAACAAAGCTCTTGAGGGGTAAATAAGAGATACAGGAATGGAATATTTAGGGTTTTGAGGCTCAAAAATCGATTTATTTAGCCTTCTGGGCGTTCTCGCGGAGCTTGACGTCGTGAGCAACGACCATCTCGGCGGCGGTGTAGAGATGAACGACGGAGATGGCGGATTTGACGAAGGCGATTGGGAAGGCGATCAGTGGGAAGATGCTCATGAAGTGGAAGGCTCCAAAGATCAGGGGGCCTGGAAAATTGGACTTTTGCTTTATTTGGTAAAGAAAATGATGTAGATTTGCATAAAAATAGAGAAAAAATCTGAAAAACGTGCGAAAAGCTGCTTTTAGGCACGTAAATAGTAATTTTTATGCTCAAAAACACCTAAAAAGCCCCCAAACCCGTGTTTCGGTCTAAAATCAGATTTTCCAAAATTTGCTCAGATGGCCTAGTGGGATTTTCGGCTAAAATTTTGGAGCCAAAGGGTCCCGGGTTCGAACCCCACCGGTGGCAACTAGTTTTTGAAAATGTTTTTTGGGATTTTCAGGGGCGGGAAGTTCGAAAGTCGAGGTTTGAAAGCTCAGAAAAATAATTTTTTGAACATTTTTGAACCCTTTTTGTCTTTAAAAATCCCAAAATTGCCATTTATTATAAGGATTTTCGAATTTTTTCTCTATTTTCATGTGAATCTACATGATTCTCTGCACAAAGACCCCCAAATATAGGTCTAAAATCGACGAAAACCCTTCCAAAAATCAGTAACTCACCAGCCCAGAAGGCTCTAATATAGAGCAAAATGTAGAATGCCTCGTTTCCACCACACATGAAGCCCAAGAACATTCTGTCTGTGTAGTACAGATTCAGAAGCCAGTTCGAGGACTGCTTGTGGGACGAGGCGCCGGAAAGGTCCGTGGCGTGGAGGTGGAGCCAGTGGGAGGCAATGTCGATCACAGCGGAGAGCTGAAATTGAGCTATTGATGGTCTAGAAATCCAAAATTCGCCAGATTTGACGAGCTTAGAGTGCCGAAAAGTGTCGTTTTAGACCGAGAAATAGAACTTATAGACCATTTTTGATCTAGATTTCAAGTTTTTTGGTTCTCGAAGCCCTAAAACGCATTCTTGTCACTTCAGATAGCCTAGACACTCCCTGGTGGCCTAGAAGCCTAAAATTCGTCAGATTTGACGGCTGAGACCCCAAACAGTGTCGCGCCTAGAAGGTTTTTTACCTAGATTCCCTGATTTTTCAGGTCTCAAAGCCCTAAAACCAACCTGAAGAAGGAACAAGTGATCCGGGAAGAACTTGCAAAGTGCCATGACGAGGGCGAGAAGAGCACAGCTGGAAAACATCAAATTTCCTATATGATAAACCCAAAATCCCGCTTACCGATCAGTGAGCTGATCGAGCATGGCTCCGAATCGGCTCGACTGATTGTAGGTACGAGCTGCCCATCCGTCGAAGGCGTCGAGTCCGGCAGAGAGGGCGTAGCTGGAAATTTGAATTTTTCGGTTTTGGCGGGAAAAATAAAGATTTTAGCACTAAAATGAGTCATTTTTCAGAGATTTTAGTGCTAGAATAGGTCATTTCTGGAGATTTTAGCGCAAAAATGAGTCATTTTTGAAGATTTTGGCGCTGGAATAGGTCATTTTCAGAGATTTTAGCACTAAAATGGGTCACTTTTTGGAGATTTTAGCGCAAAAATGGGTCATTTTTAGAGTTTTTAGCGCTGAAATGAGTCATTTTTAAAGCTTTTAGCGCTAAAATAGGTCCAATTTTGGAGTTATTAGCGCTAAAATTAGTCATTTTTCAGAGAATTCAACGCTAGTATAGGTAATTTTTTAGAGATTTTAGTGCTAAAATGAGTCATTTTTTAAAGAAATTTTAGCGCTAGAATAGGTCATTTTTGAAGGTTTTAGCGCTGAAATGAGTCATTTTTAAAGCCAAATTTGAATTTCACAGTTCAAATTTCCAGAAAAAAAACCTACCAGAGCATCGCACAGACTGGCGACGACGACATATAGTACATGGCCAGAATGGCGAGCACAATCCGTCCGTAGCCGATGAGATTCGGGTAGAAGAGCCAGACATTGTTGTTGTTGGCGGTGGTGGAAGGCGAGGATTCCATTTTTGGGGCCTGAAAATTTGAGAAAATTGGCGAAAAATAAGCGAAAAATAAGTGAAAAAATGCGAAAAACCGAGAAAATAACGAGTTTCAAAACTGGTTGAGAGAGCAGTACAAACGAAGAGACGCCAGACAAACAGCGCAAAAAAGGGAAAGAAGAGGAGCTCCTAGGCTGCTTTTTTATGCTTTTTCTCGCTAGAATTGGTAATTAATGGAAAAAAGAAAAAGGCAAAATAAAGCTTTTAGAGGAAGAAAATGCCGGAAATGGGAAAATGCGAGGGATTAAGGGATTTCAGGAGGGATTTGGGCAAAAATTGAGTGTAAAAACAGAGGAAGACGTCAGAGTTATCGCTAGAAAACTGAAAGAAAAATTTGAATTTTTGACATCGAAAAATTGGAATATTCAAATTTCACAGGATTTTTTTCTGAACATCGATAAATAGGATTTCCAGGCCTCCTATCACTTTCAGCATGATTTCTGGACACATTTTCTGTTGATTTTACCCCAGAAACTTCGCAAAACCCCTTTATAAATCGGGAATTCAACACTAACCTGTGAAAAATCTAAAAAACCGAGTTTCAGGTCATTTTTCCTGTGATTAAGTCAAAATTAACGGATTTATAGGTTATTTTTCGCTTAAAATTTAAATTTTCACTTAAAAAACTCTGAAAAATCAATCGAAAATCGCTGGAATCGGTCTAAAACACTCGATTCCTGCCCATTTTCGAAAGTCGCGGCAACTTGTCCACGAACCCTCCGCGAAGACAAGAGAGTCTTCGTGGTGAGACTCCAACGACGCGAAAAGTGTGTGCGCCTTGAAAAGATATTTGCATTTCGGGCCGGAAAAAAAATCCTGAAACAAACGGATTTCGCTGGAAAAAAGAGGAAAAAACAACAAAAAAAATTGAAAAATTATTTATTTGAAAATAAAAACATAAGAAATCAGAATTTACATGGAAAACTTGGGAAAAAAGAAGAATAAACAAAAAAAGGCAATGAATCATGATAACAATATTGAATTTTGAAGAAGAAGGCGAATATGATGATGTCGCGGGAAGAAAAGTATACAAAAATGATGAATGTGCACATAAAACGCTCACTTTTATGATTTTCTTTGCCCCGAATTCATAGGAAGAGCGAGGAACAATTCGTCATTTGCAAGATGATGTTCCCGAAGGTTGTCAAGGAGAAGAAAAGCGATTTTTAATTGCTCATTTTTATTATTTTTCAACTTTTGAAGCATGAAATTTGAAGCAACTTTTTCAACTTTTCAACTTTTCAACTTTTGAAGCAACTTTTGAAGCATTTTTACATCAAAAATTTGTTCTAAAATAAGAGAAAAGTCTTGATTTCAGCTCTGAAACTTGTGAATTTCTTTTAAAAAATAGTAGAAATTTGTTTCAAAAATCGAAAATTCGACAATTTCTTGGTTTTTTTCATTGGAAAAGCCCGCCAACCCTCCTTCACAAGCACAGCTTTCCCACACCTTTATAATTACCAAAATGCGCCCTCCACCTTTTACCACGCGTGGCCGAGTGGCTAACACAGCTGCTCGCCAATCTCGAGGTCTCGGGTTCAATTCCCAACTCCACCAAACCCTTTTTTTTTCTCCTTTTTCCCATCCTCATTTCATTTTCTCAAGTACCATACCACCGTTTTTGACCTATTTTCACTTTTTTTTTCAAAAACTCCAAAGTAGCCTTATCCCCCTCTCGTATTTTTTGCGAAAAACAAATAAAAAAGAAAAATCGAATGTCAAACAATGAAAAAGTCGGCGGGGAATGGTTTCTGTTACAATTTTTGGAGGATTTTGTGATATATGTTTCTTTTAAAATTAAAAAAAAACAAAAAAAATTTTTGTTGACTAAAAAACTTTTTTTTGTTATTTTTACATGTTCGTTCCCTATTGGGAAATATTTGTATGTTTACTAAAAAATGTTATTTTTTCCAATTTTTGGACCAGGGAAAGTCCGAAAAATCCAATCTTTAAAGAAAAAAAATGGAAATATTTTTTGACTTTTTCCAAAAAAAAAATAATATAATTCAAAAAAATATTTTTCAAATTAAAAAATTCCCCAATATAAGAAGTGTGCTTCTTTACAGATTTTGGGAATTAAAAGTAGATCTTCTTAACTCCGGAGAGCTTCCAAATCTCTTCTTTTTCCCCCCGGATGTTTCCATTTATTTTCTTCCCTTTTCTCCTATTTCTTCTTCTTCTTCTTCTTTTTCCTCTTATTTGCTATTAGTGTTCATTTAAAACTACATTTGTACTTATATAAAATTTTGAAACTTCTGTAAATTTTTAACTTTTCTGGATTTCTCCCCCGACGCCCTACCCCCCCCCCCCTAGTCGCCTTTCAAAATGCGCACCCTCCTATAGGCCTTGCCGCCCTCAACACTACTTGGGGTGTCTTGGCGCAGGCGGTAAGGCACGTGCCCACCAGTCCATCGGGCGCGGGTGGGCTGCGAGTTCAATTCCTCCTGCTGGATCTTTCCTTTTGAATACTTTTTTCGACTTTTCATAGACATTGTTATCAACTTGGAGAGTTTCCAAGTGATTTCTAGTGACCAGGAAACCTTTAAATATCCAAAATTCCAAGAAATTCAGTGAAATTTAGTACACTTTTTTGTTTCTCAAGACCCCCCAAGACAAATAATTTCCAAGAAAAAAAATTCCATGAGAGAATAAGAATTTTTATGAAATTCGAAACTTGATCCTTCTTTTCCCCTTTTTCTTACTATGTCTTTGTATGTCATCTGTCCTTTCGTATTTCCCCCTTTTCTTATTTTTCAAAAAATGTTTGAAGACTTTTTCTCTTTTTTTTCGGTCTTTTTTGTTCTGAAAATTCCTGAATTCTGGAATTCTGGAATTCTGGAATTCCGGAATTCTGAACCTCTGAAATTCTGGAATTCTGAAATTCTGGAATTATAAAATTCTGAAATTCTGAATCTCTGAAATTCTGAAATTCTGGAATTCTGAATTCTGAATTCTAAAATTCTGAAATTTTGAAATTCTGAAAATTCTGAATTCTGAAATTCCTGTGATTCTGTTAGTCTCCTAAAATTGTTAAATTTCAGAAATTCCAATGAATTCTCGAAGATCCTACGGTCATCCCCCAATGGATAGGCGTAAGTGAAGAAATCGGGACACACAGACACACATTGAAAACTTCCAGGCTCCCGCTCCTCATCCGCCCACCTCCACCAACCGTACCATGCGATTTCCGAAGTCTACACCAAAGAAATCACTCACCGTCCCATTGCTCCTGCATCTGAATACCCTCCAGAAGTGATTCAAATCCTTCGCGAGGAGCCAGAGCTCCAAGGATGGATCCAGAGCGAACCTATACACCCCCATTGATAAGGAGGTGAGAGTTAAAAAAGAAAAAAAGGAAACGGCGGGGAGGGGCGTTGAACTTGCGCGCGCACGCCTACGGGACATGCGCCTTGCCGCCTGCGCCACTCGTGCTGCATTAGGAAAAGGGGCGAAGGGCGTAGAGAAGGGTGCGGCGCGCGGCGCGTAGCCGCGTCATGAAGTTAAGGGGGTGATAAGAATTTACAATCATAATTTTCAGCCGCGGGAACACATGGACCACCGAAAACTTCCCAATTGTTCGTGTCCCATCTGCACAGTTTACGGATATCATGACCGAGGTTTACGACTATCACGAAGTCAACGAGGTGGCCTTGAAAAATATGAAAAATGGCCTAGAAAACCAAAATTTTCAGAAATTCACACGTCGCTCTGTGAGTCCAGATGTCCTTATCCGGCAAGAAGACGTTCCAAAAGCCCCAATTCTTCACGTAATTCCACCGACTCCCGAGAAGAATACGCCACGTTACGGAATCCCTCTGACGACTTCTGAATTCCAGAAGCCCTTGCCGATGTATGAAGAATACGTTAGGATGCAGAAGGATAAGGAGAATAGAAATCTGATAACAACGTCTTCTGAATCCAGAAGTTCTGAATTCAAGGATTCAGAATGCCACGTCAATAACAATCTTCGTCACATCGACTCATCGTCGTCAGAGTCTTCAGAATCGTTCCAAAAGACGTCTTCTGAAATTCAGAATCGGCCAGAAGACGTCAGACGTCATCAGAATCTTCCAGAAGACGTCGGCAAACGCTACGTGTATTCTCACGACGTCTACGTGGATTCCACAACCGGAAGACCGTATACGCCGGGAAGTGAAGAGTTGAGGGATCGAAAGAATTGTGATAAACTGAAAATTAATGTGAGTTCTGGTGCATTTTGTCGTCAAATTTGATGTATTGATCTAAAATTCAAATAGTTGTGCATTTTGTCGTCATTTCTGGCGTATTACCCAAAAAATCGAAAATCTGTGTATTTTACAATAATCTACAGTAATCTACAGTAGTCCCGTAAAAAGAAGAAACATCTGCCATAACTTACAGTAATCTACAGTATTCTAAAGCTTCCTACAGTAACCTTTAGCTCAACTAAAGTTAACCATTCTAACCTATTATTCAAAAATTCGAAAATCTGTGCATTTTGTCGTCAAGTTTGATGTACTATTTCGAAAATTCGATTTCTGTGCTTTTTTTTCGTAAAATCTGGTGTTTTGGCACTTGGTACCAAAACACCAAATCTTACGACAAATTTCAAAAACTACCGTACCTCTCCTTTTCCGGATTACTGTATGGAACATGAACAGTAGAAGATAGGCTCCTGGAAAAATTTTTTTGAGGAATACTGTAGCTACAGTAGTTCTCACTTTTCTTTTTTGTAGTCCTTATCGCTTGGGATCTTGGAAATTCCTCGGGGGTACTGTAGTTCAGGCGTTCCCTCTGACCTGAAGAATTTTTTGGGTTACTGTAGATTTGACCTACTTTTGGAAATTTCCAGATTTCGCAGTAATTTCCGATCTATAAGAGGATCTAGCTGATTGATCGGATTTGGTTGCATGAGCTCTGAAAATTTTTTTTTGGGTTACTGTACCTCTCCTTTTCCGGGCTATTGTATGGAATATGGACGTTTTT